TTTTGTTTCTGTCCATGGAGTTTTCTTGGCAAAGATACTGGAGTGGCTTGCCAGTTCCTGCTCCAGGTTGATCACGTTTAATCAGAACTCTCCACTCTGACCTGTCCGTCTTGGGTGTCCCTGCACGGCATAGCCGATAGCTTCTCTGATTTACTCAAGCCCCTTTGCAACGACAAGGCAGCAATCTGTGAAGGGGAAAACAGACATATAGGCAGAATAAAGTTTTTACAAACTGAAAATCCTTTTAAAAATATCTTTACATTATTGAAAAATGGGGAAAACGTGGAAGAATGCAGAGACAATGTTAAGAAACCAAACATGATTTTTATATAAGTGTAAAAATGACATGAATAATGCTTAAAGGAACAAAAAAAACTTTAAATGTTTTTATTGTCAAGCAAACAACACTAGTTGTTTGCTTGACAATAAACACCTTTAAAAGCAAAGCATACATAAACCTTGTGCATGAAGCTATGTCATGGAAAGCTGATAATATCATCAGCTGTGGTGATTTTCTTTTTTGGAAAGTACTTTTGAATCTGAACGTTCTGGGATTCCAATGCAGTCTCCTTCATTGGGGGGAAGTTGTAGGGAGGCCATGGGACAGAGTGAAACTTTGATTTCCAGGAACCGGATTTCGGCCAATATGTATCATTAATAAAATACCTTTTGATATGGAAAGGGACCTAACACTAAAAAAACAAAAATCAAACTATATATCTAAACACCTTTTCAGTAAAGCTGATTTCCATACAAATTACAGAAAGCAAAACAAACAACCAAAACAACAAAAAAGTAAACTTAGGATTGTGAATACCCTTTTCCTTACCAGATCCTTTTACTTGGACAGAAACATGTTACAAATGTTGTTTTAAGCTTTTTTAAAAAAACAATCAAAGGATAAGATCAAATATCAAAGCAAATATGTATATCCTCCCCTTTATTCTCACAAGCACACTATTTTTACAGTGCTACTGTGCCTCAGACAGCAAATGTGCAAACAAAGTCACACTATTTTCCAATCAGTTACAAGAAAGCTAATCTATCAAATACAGAGGAGATAAAATCCTGTTAGGAAAAGCAGAGAATATTTTTCTCTGAATTGTGCACCCCTTCTCGGTACGAAACCAGTGCTACTCTTCAATCATTTACAAGAAAAAAACATTTCATGTTACTGACATGTTCAAAGGTAAACACATAAATTAGGACCATAGCACTTTAACATTTTTATACTACATCTTCCCTACGTATCTAACATACCTGACTATTCAACAATCTCCTATATTTACAAGGCATAGAACTTCTGCAGAACAAAAATGATGCAATTCAAGAATGATTGTGAGTGACTGATGCTTTTAAGTGTCCCAGCTGACGTCCACAGGACACTTGGATAACTATTGGCTAATGCTGTTCCAAATCTACATGGGTGAAAGTCTGTGAGATTGTTTTGGGACCCAAGAATGCATAACTCCCTGCCTCCTTTTTTTATTTACTGGCATGCAACATTCCACCTGTAGCAATCCTGATTCTTCAAAGCAAAGGTGAAAAACATTTACATCAAAATATGTATGGTAAGTACCTCATATCAACAATTTTCTAGTGTCTTGTAAAATTAGCAAGCTGGCTAACATGGCTGAATTTATACAGCTCAGAGTTGGGAAGAAGCAAAAACAAATGCATGAAATATAGTGGCTACCATTTACTAATTTTATGCAGCTTTGATACAGTGTTAGATGTTTGCGCAAAGGCTTTCATGGCCAGGATCTAACGGTTGGTATGAGTTTTTCGGGCTCTTTGGCCGTGTTCTGAAGGTTGTTCTTCCTAATGTTTCGCCAGTCTCTGTGGCCGGCATCTTCAGAGGACAGCACTCTGTTGGAGTGCAGGGAGCACAGAGTGCTGTCCTCTGAAGATGCTGGCCACAGAGACTGGCGAATCGTTAGGAAGAACAACCTTCAGAACACGGCCAAAGAGCCCGAAAAACCCACACCAACCGTTAGATGTTTTATTAGAAGTTAAAACTTCTTCAAAGTAATCTACCTATAAAATAATCCTAGTCTAAAATCTCAGTATGTTTAAATTAAAACTTTAATTCTGCCTCCTTCTGTTATTCCTTGTGTGTCTTAAATTTATACTGCCTGCGGGCACAGCTTATCATATTACTTTTCTTGTAAGCTGCTCTAGGAGCCTTTTGGCCAACCAGAGGACTACAAATGCCGTAAATAAATATACATACATACATACATACATACATACATACATACATACATACATACATACATACATACATACATACATACATACATACATACATACATACATACATACATACATACCTATTAACTGCTGCAAGAATGTATGTTTCTGTGAATGCTAGAATAAGAAATGCCATACAACTAAATTCAGAATTATACTGTACTTGAAAAACGAGACCACTGTACAAACATAAAAATTAAGATTACAGCCATATCGATACTTGAATCACACACACACACACACACACACACACACCAGATCAGTTTTATATGCAATACATAGAAATATGCTTTTTAAAAATCCTTAATTTTTTTTACAAATATTATCCTACTTTTTCTGCTTTTCTTGTAAAAATGAAAGCCAATTAGTTGGTTGGGAAAACAATTATTGGACACACCTTTCTCACTATCCTTGAGCTGTCTATCTGTGATCCAAAAGGGCACTGGCCGTGCCTTGTACTTCAAAGCTTTGGGCTGAGGAATAAATCTGTGGTCTTTTATCGAGGGCATTCTCATGGAGATGAGGGCATACGCCTGAGAGTTGTTCATTGCATCCAAGCAAATAGCTGAGTTCAATGCAACACTGACTATGTAGCAGAAAGCACTACTGAAGGGACTAGTGTATGATTTGTTATGGTCCAAAGCTTAGCTTAGGGTTTAGAGAGCTTATTCCTTTTGTGTAATGGCGAGTAAGTTTCATCATATATTAAAGAAAACTGCAGAACCCCTTCCCCCCACTTAAAAAAAACGAAACAAAACACAAACAAACAAAAACTGGAACTGTATGGCATGGGGAAAGCTTATTTTGGAATCTGGGCTCTGCATTGACACCTAAACTTCAAATCCTTATCAATTTTCAAGGCAGTAATTAAACATTATTTCTAACTTAATGGGTATAAGGAACTAATCAGAAACTTATTCAAGCTAATCTCTGATCATAGTTTGTTTCTGGAAGCTCACAAAGTTTATTCAGATGGAAGCCCCACAAATTACAGATGCTTGCTGTTATGTGCTGTCAAGTCAGAACCAACTTATTACAACCCTAAGAGGGATTTCAAGGTAAGATTTAAAGACTGGTTTTACCAGATGTCCAACACCAGTGAGTTTCCATGACTGAGCAGGCATTTGATCCCAGGTTTCCTGACTCCTAATCTATCTACTTCACTGCACTGGGCATGATGCTTACTTCCATGTAAAAGTCTAATGCACACTCAGACAAGCTGTTTTCAAACTTCTAATAGACAGAAGAACCTGCCCATGAAATTCAAGGTAACCAAGAACTGGACTCTGAGAGCAAATACAACAGGGACAGAAGACAAAGAAGATAGTGAAGCATTGCTTCTGTTTTACTGTTTTTATTTTGATATTTGATGCCATCTATTCTAATTATAGCATTTTCGTCATTTGTGGGAAACTGCTTTTATTTAAGAAGGTAAGTGAGAATACGGTGTAGAAAAATTATTTTGGTTTACAGGTCCCAGAGTCACCTAGCTATCTCTGCTGGTTTGGGATTTTTGGAATTGTAGTCCAATACCTAGCTTTTCTAAATTCTGCCCAGACGTTTCTGTGGTGTGAAGCAGCAATGACAGATCATGAGACCATGCAAATGGACTCCTAAGAGTGGAAGTTGAAGATTTAAAACAGTAAAATGGAAGGGGGAATTTTATTTCTAGCTCAGTGCCGTTCTTCTCTCAAGATCCATTCCTTGATGGCGGTGATGGTGATTTTTTTTTTTTGTAGTCAATTTCTAGCGCCCAACCTACAAGCGTTGGGAATGCCTCATTCTTTCCATTGACATGATGGGCATCCGTTTTTAGACAAGCCCTCGATGGAAAGGGCTGGATGGATCCATCATAGTGAAAAAAGTCGGGAACAGGAAGAGTCCGTCTTTGAAGCCACGCAAACCTCTCTAGCAAGAGACTATCGGGCCACTATCTCTGCGCCTTTTCCAAATACGATTGTCCCAGCGCGGGCTGGGACTCTGCAAACCGCCAAGACTGTAATCGATGGTGGGCATCTCATGAAGGGGGGGGCGCGTCCGTCACACACACGTCCGCCGTCCCGCATTTTGTTCGCCCTAAAAATGCCACAACAGCAGGTCTCTCTGTTGGATTTGTTGCTTTTGCGTTGACACACGAGCGCGGCGGCCCCGTTCTCTGGAAATCTTTCTCTGGACCCGACATTTGGGTCGGACTTGTGACCATGAAACCTGCCTTGCGGAGCGCCGGGCCGCCTCACTTCCTCCAGGGGAGTCGCAGGGGAGGCCCTTGGGACTCTCTCTGGGCTCAGTTCCCTCAGGTGGCCACCGAGTTTTGTCCAAGTCCCCTCCGCCTCAGCGAGAGGCGCGCTGCGCTCCCTGTCGGCTCGCGCCGGCTGCCCGGCGCCCCGTCGGACTTGTGACCATGAAACCTGCCTTGCGGAGCGCCGGGCCGCCTCACTTCCTCCAGGGGAGTCGCAGGGGAGGCCCTTGGGACTCTCTCTGGGCTCAGTTCCCTCAGGTGGCCACCGAGTTTTGTCCAAGTCCCCTCCGCCTCAGCGAGAGGCGCGCTGCGCTCCCTGTCGGCTCGCGCCGGCTGCCCGGCGCCCCTCCCCTCC